TTTTGAGTGCTCTGATGCATATTTGTCTTCCCTGAGAGTTTGGCATTAGAAACAAACTCATCTAGAGGAAAGACCAGTCATCCTTAGGTTACACTTCCCCTTTTCCTCTTTTTTTTGTTCCACTTTTAATTGAAAGGAAAGGTTTATCTGCTACTGGCGGCAGCAGAACTGCAGAAGCTCCTGCGTTTCATCATCAAAGATTAGATGAACTGTTATAATAAGCTTTCCACAAGATCAAATTGCTGGTCTAGAAAGCTGTAGATCTAGGTTGGTGTTATGTTCTGACAGCTTTCTCTAGGTGAGAAGCTTGAAAGTACACCCTTGCTTAAGGGAGATACCCGTAAGCACAATAAAATTAGATATATATCTATTCGTCTACTGCCGGTTCCTTAGCTTTCTTAAGGTTGGAAGATGTAGATACAGTGCACAAGATCATACACATTGCTAAGCTTCAACAGGGGGTCATTTGTAAACACTCAGTCTTACAAAAAGCCTTTAATTCATTAACCCCCGCCACCCCAATCTGTGAATATTAATGTAAACATATACTCTTGAAGACATTTATGGTATTTAAAGAGAAAACCAGGAATTATCCTTCACTTAATCATAAACATGAAAAAAAGTTTGAGTTTCTTTTTAATGCATTTGTAAATTTTACTTTGAATTCCCAGGAAATCCAGGGAGAAAAAGGGAAAGTAAAAGAAAATGGTTCAGTTTGGAAAGGATAATTGAGGGAGAGGTTGGGGAATAAGTGCTAATAGCAGGCCATCAGAAGGTCAGTGAGTTTGACGAATTGAATGCTTTTGTATTGGAACAAACCATAGAACTTGTACGTAACCTGGTAGGAGTCTTTCTCTGTTTGTCCTTGTAAATGGGAGCTGTGTCTTTGGACACATGCCAGAGTGGAACTGCTCATTCATTATTACCACTTAAAGCAAACGGTTGTAGCCCTATAGCACATAAAATAATGAGTGTGGCTCCCATTTCACAGATAAGAGTCATATATTAGGCTTCGCGTATGGTCAAGTGTGCACTGGCTTTTGGAGAAGGTACAAAAATTACTCCAATGAGTAAAGCTCATATGGAAATAATTCGGCAAATAGGAAAATTTGTAATTGGAACCATCATTAGTGACTAATGCTGAGCAATATATATGCTTAATGAAATAGGATAGGATTAAAAGACAAAACTAAATTTATTCAGAACCTAGGATACATACTGATGTGAATAATTTTAGGTGTATTCCTAATCCTAGTAGTTTCATCTTTTCACTCTGCTGAAAACTAAGTGTTTGAATAGCACCTTTCATTTGAATTAAAGCAGGCATCTCTACCTAGTAAGAACTTCACCTCATCCTATTCCTGATATACATTATGAAAGTGTTCTGCACCAGGGGACAGAGGAGGCAGTGTAAGAGAGGCAGTGCAGGGTTCTCTCCGAGATACTCAGTAAGGCCTGGCAACAAAAGGCATCATAAACTAGCTGTTTTAATTAGACAGAATAAAAAGAGGAATAGAGATAGCAGTGAAATGTTGTGCCCCTTCAGTTGCTGCGAGCCCCCTGTGCCCACAGCGCTGCGTGGACCCAGCATGGGTTTGCTGTCGGTGTGCTGCACAAATCCCGGCTGTGGAGGGGCGCCTCCTCCCTCCCTCCCGTGCCATGGTGCCTTTTATCTTGTGTGGAAACAACACTATGTATCTCCTCCTGACAAGCTGGGATGTTCTCCTTGATAACACCGCCCAGCACCTTCCCTTGCAGCGGCTACTCATGCTCACCGATGGGCTTCTCGAGCCTGATGGGCAAGGGCCGGTAGATGCCTTGCCCAAGATCACTAGCTCCTAGAGTACAATGTCTTCTGTGAGGCTTCCAATACAAAAAATATAATATATATGGTAATATATCAAAGGACTTTGCTGTGGTGTAATTCACTGTTCTTTTTTTATTATGCATATTTTATCATTTCATCATGCATTATGCTGAAACAACCGAAACGGCTGGCTGTAAAATTGCACTGCCATTTTCTCTTCAAGATTCTTGAAGGTCACTTCTATAATTGTCAGTGAATAAGTAATTATTTGGATTTGAATGAATACTAGTATATTGCAAAATATTCCATACCTAGTAATTTTTGTATTAACCATTCTTTTGTGTGTTCTTTTAAGTAGTGAAGCCTGTAATGTATTAGATGGATTTTATAGATATTTTTATTTTATGCATTCATATGTTTTTTCTGTAATATAAATACAGGTGTAAATACCACAAAAGGTATATGTGATGCTGGAAATCCCTGAGTTCTGGTAGTTATTGATCCACAGAAGATGGTTACATCTGATTAGAAGGGTAGCAGAATGGAGAAGGAAAGCTGTATGGAAACAGCTTGCTTTTCTCATAAAGATTTTCAAGATAAAAAAAAAAAATAAATAAATATCCTGTTTTGTGTCAGGAGCAAACTAAGCTGCTTTTTGACCCTGGGTCAAATCACCACAGGTGAGTGCTGTGGCTGGCAAGAGTTCACAGCCGAATTTGTTTAGTTTCCCCTGATGGAAGGTTGTACATCTTATTGTTACTCGTGGTCAGACGTTGCTCTTCCATGTTGTCCATAAATCAGTGCCATTATCAGTGAGGAGCACGGTAAGTTTCTTGCCTTCTTCCTCAGACTCTGGATACACAGTTATCTATATGAAATACTTCTTTGGGTAGAAAACCCCCGGTATATTCGGAATACTGCCTGTATTTAATGTTCTACTTCGCTTTTGAAACAATTCCAAAGGAAAAAAAAATCCTCTTACAATAATCTCTATCATATTATTGTAATTTGTGACATGATATACTGTCTCGTTTGTGACAATCTTACATACAGGGAAAGAAAAGGAAGTCCTTTTAAACTCTTCATTCAAAAATGATCCTTTTCCCTTAGCGCTCGCTCTTTCAAAATTGCCAACTTAAAGACACTTTCAGACATGAGTCTATTTTTACAAGGCTAATCTGTTTAAGTAGTGAGCTGTTGTTTTGAAGGCTTCAGTGTTTTGATGTGTTTTTTTAGCAAAAAGCACATCAGGCAGACCGGTACTATTACTTGAAATTATTTTCTTCTTTCCTTACACATGCAAGAGAGATACTTCGGCATCAATACCTCTTTTCTAAATTCTGTGGAAAGGACTGTAAGGTCAGTGTGTTTGTATGGACAAGACGACAAATTGTGTGCTGCAGTTAGAGTTGAAGCATATGTTTTCTTGTTTCTTGGTGTTTAAGTAAAATTTTTTATATATAAGAAAATGTATAGTTGACCCTTGCAAAGAGTTCTCATGCAGACATGACACGAGGAGTAGGCAAGTCCAGAACATCTTTTTTTCTGCTTCCATTTTAGTGCTAATGATTATTTTCTTTATGTTATCGTAACAAAGGGTCAAGGAGATTATCTGCCTATTTTTTAATAAAAAGAAGCGTGTTAAGAATCACCAGTTGGAAACTATAGAAGTGGAAAACAGAAATACAAACTTTATTGTACAGTCTGCAACTTGTTAAATGATATGACATCCAAGTTAGAAAGTTTTTTAATATTACTCAGAAATAAAATACCACACACAAAAAAATCTCCTTGCAATTTAAGTTTCTTAGAAAAAACTAATGAAAAGGTAGTCCAAGCTATTAAATGATCCAGATTTCCTCTGGGAAAATATTTATATGGAATTTAATAGGCAGCGATAAGCTTTCTCTTTGTTTTATAAATCATTCTGTGTATTTAATAGAAAATTATAATCTTGCTGGAGACTTCTGTGGAATAGCCAAGAAAACCAAAAGCGGCATAATCATTTTCTATTAAGGTACTTGGCATTTTTAGAGAAACGTTATATAGCTCAATTTGATCACTGTGAAATTCTGTAGGATATTTCATGTCTCTGAAAATAACTGTATATCTTATCAATAAGAAACATACTTCTCCAGCTCTTATCATGTACGTGTCTTGTCAGCAGCATCAGTACGTTGTGTTCAGTCTAAATTTCACCTCATGCCTTCGGTGGTCAATGAAGAGAAGCAATCGCCTCTGAAGTTCAGAGAAGCCAAGTAGCTGAGACACTGCTGTGCTTATAGTTCTACACATATGGCTAAAATTTCTGGCCCCAGAGTCAGTTGCCATGGTCTAGTTGCAGCTACGTAGCTTAGGACTCAACTTTCTAGAGCAGACAGCACAGCTTTGGATCACCTCTAGGTCCTCTGTGGTGCTGTGAAAATGTAATCATTATTTTGTGCTTAGGGGTATTTGGGCATTTTCATCTTTTGGAGTTTTTGGTTTGGTGTTGTTTTTTTTTTTGTTATTTTTGGAGGATTTTTTCCTTTTTTCTTTTTTCTCATTTAAAGTGTTGGAAATGGTGTGAAGGATGCATTGCAACCCACCAGAGTGGTGTTTGTGTGGTTGGAAATGGAGAACGTATGTTCCATCCCTGAAGGGGTGGCATGAAGGGGTGCGGAAGGTGTCTGAAGGTGCAAAGCCTGGTCTCATAGTGTTTCAGGACTGTGTATGTTAGAGGGAGACATATTTGGGAGCAGTTTCAGTGCTCAATGATCCCCCTGATGGATGCACAGCTTTTGTCTTGGAGAGGGCCAGATCAAAACCAGATGAGGGAGTAAGCTGTCACTGAAGAGGCATGGATAAGTAGGCATCCAGTGCTCAGCCTCCCTGCCTGGCTCTCTTTGGTTCATTAGTGGAGATGTACCACCTGCCGTAAGTCCTACAAAAAGGCACTGACTTCAAGCACATGACTGAAGTGCCTTATTCAAGAGCCTGGTCACTCTGGCTTGCTTTTATAAGGAGAGAGAGGTGCCTCGGGAAAGTAGCACGCCCTAATTAAGAACTATATCAAATACTTTATATTGTCATGTGTTTGTGCTACTAGTAATGAAACTCATGCTATTTGGAATAAATATTCTAGCTGCATTTTTATTAAAACTATACTGTGTATAATGGGAATGTTTGGTTTTGTCTTTTTTTCCCTCTGCAGCTGTGACTCTGAGAATAGGTATCTTGGAAATCCACTTAGGGGAACATGCTACTGTGAGTACTTATATTTCTAATGTTCAGTAATTAAATGCTGTTTACATATTATGTGATGATTTCATTTTCTTGGAAAAACAAAATATTTTTCTTAAGATTTCAAGTTGGGGCATGTTGATATTTTAACTGAAAAATTAAATTCCCCACTGGGCTTCTCTGTTCCTTTTGTCCACAAGAATTAAGGCCTACTAAAAGTTGATTCTTTACACCTGGGTTAGAGGGACTGGCTAAGCCAGTGGGTTATTCTCTGTATCTCAACATACGTGACTAAAAGGAATAAGTAATTGTGTCATTGTTTAAAAGACAGAATTTGTGGCGGGGAAATACAAATAGGCTAAGCAGCGGTATTTCCTGGAGACATTCTGAATGGGTTAACCAGTCTGCCTCCCAGGGACATCATGCGCAGCTGCTCTCCAGAGTATCATAAAATGATACTGTGTGTTGTCTCCATGTTCTTATTATTGTGGAAAAGGTGCCTCTGGCAAATTTGCTTTAAAGCGTTATATTTCTGATAGTCATAGTGAAAGACATGAAGGGATGAGAATGCTTATTACCCATGTGCAGAAATCCCTTGGTGAGCTATGCCAATTTTGCTGTGCCAATATTGATGTTAAATAGTAATTTTAATCATCATAAAAACATATGGGATGTTGGAGAACACTCTTTTGCTTTTTGTGACTTTTGCACATACCTGCTCAATGTCAGACAATTGGATCCGTTTGTCTATTATTTCCTAACATTATGACTACCTCAAACTATATAAAGAGATATCTCTGAATATATTCATAGCATCCATTCTGATCTATTTTTTTAGCATTTCATTTTAGAATGTATATAAAAGCTTTGTTTTAGAATCTCTTTAAGGCAACATTTACCTAATAAACAAATGCTTCTTTTTGTTACTAATTTTTCTTTTCTACCTCAAATGATTTGCATCTGCAAGGTATGTTTTACAGAACAAAATTGACACATAGTGTGTTCCAGATGCTGACATCTAGGCCTAAAACATTTATTCCTCTTGCCAGGTGTTAAAGAAATTTGTTGTGTGGTTTTTGGTTGTTCAAATGTAATACTTTAAACTGGAAGATAATTTTTAAATATTGTACTTTGAAGATACAGTTAACATTGTTGACAGTTTACGTAAAATAGACCAATTTGAAAGTACTCCTTAAAACTGTGATCTAAAGATACTGTTGATCAAATAAATTGAATTCCATTTGTTTGTCGCATAAGAAATGTTTCTTATTTCAAAACAGAAATGTCAGTATTAAGAAGGGTGAATTTTTGTATCTATGAATTTTATAAATTTTGTAGATTTAGAGTTAGATAACGAGTTCATGAGAAATTCATGCTATGAAGAGTGCTATGACTATGTTGTATGTGTGTATCAACATTTGTTTTGTCCTTTAAAAATAAACGTTATTAAATATAAGAGATGGAAAAGAAATGACAGTAATGAGATTTGTAGACCGCAGGCACCTCCATGAAAAACCTTATTTTTTTGCTATCAAGTTGCAGGTTGGTTCTATAAATCATGTTGGAGACAAATTGTACTATATTCAAGATACCCTTTCACCTTTAACTCGCTACTATTATTTGTCTTCTGTCAGATTTCAAAATATTTTAAAGATCTTGTTGTTCTGGAATGATAAATCTTCTTTTAATACTTCTAGTCATTTAAAGTATGCTATATAAATGATTTTCAGAGTTATTTTATCTGGAGGTAATAAGATGCCTGTGCTAATTTAAAGTAATGGAATTCTTTATTTCTTGCATTTAGTGGCTGATGCATCATAATAGGAAATAATTTGTGGATAACTGACTGACCTAAGATTTCAATGACAATTGCTTATCAGCACCGTTCATTACCTGCTAAATCATGTATTAAAATATATGTATGCCATAGAGATGTTCTGATTTCTTTTTATAAGTATTTTAAAATATGGCCTTACTATGGACTATAATTTGTGTAAGAAAATGTTTTGATTTTGTACCAGACAGGCATTTGGATGGTATTTTTCTGTGCTTATTTCACTACTCTCTAAGAAACTTTCTCTTTAGACACTTATATTGCTGTTTTGCTTCTCCTTGAAGTGAAGAATATTCTTATTTTTTATAGCACAGGAGTAGTTATTGCTGAGGAGGGAGGAAAATACTGAAGAAAAACAAATAGTGCATACTTATGAGCATCATAAGTTTATGAGAAATAAAAATTTTAGGCATATTTGGTTCTACCACTTAGACTCAAAATCAGTGAATGGGAGCGAAATAGGAATACAACTAGTAATTTGCCGTATGGTTGGGATCTTTGGGAAAGTTTTAGTCACATGCTTGCATTTAGCCACCTTCAAAATGACCAGTTTCAAGTGTTCAAATTTTATCTTTGTTTTTCACTTGCACAAATAAACACCACAGAATTCAGTCCTGAATGGCTAACGTTTTTATGATATTGGATGACCTCAATTTCTCCTTAGCAGTAGGATGCTGTTTGAGAAAGCTTGTTCCCTTAGAGGAACTTTCTGCACCTTGTGATATTGTGAATCCCCACTGCCCTGTAGAAGGTCAGCTGTTTCCCTCTCTTTTAGCCCTCTGCCCACTTACCTAGTTGCTTGCCTAGTGCTCTCCTCCCTCTTGCCACCATTGCCATCCTCAAGCCTAGGAAGGGGAAACAGACTGGTGTTGATGTAGGTGCTGGTATTAACATCAATAAACTGTTTAAGACAGTAAGTAAACTCTAAACTTAATAGATTTTAGCCAGTGTGATAGCACAGATTGTTCTAGTTTCTTCCTTATGTATTTCCTTTAGTAGTGTTGTAGGAGTGTAAGCGGAATATTAATGCTGTACATGGATTGTGTTGTGATTGGAGAAGTGATCTGAGCACAAATGAAAACATAGAATAATTACAGGTAGGTCTAGCATGATAAAAATTAATGGGATTTATACAGGAAGTAACACACTGAAACATTGCAGTGACTTAATGTAAGTACACATACTATGCCAAAAGGATAAACGCAGGCAGCAGCAAAGCCATCAAATCCTAGAGATAACAGGAGCTGCTTGTTAAACATCAGATTTCATTCTAATATGGCATTTCAAAACATGGCAGCACTGGACATGAGTAGTTTTTGTGCTTTAAATTATCAAAACTTAATAAAAGTGGAGTAGGAAATGCATAATAGACCGGGCATGCAATAGTGTATTATCCAGATTGTGTGAAAATTGTCTCCCATTGCTTCTATTAAAATTATTTTCATTTCATTCTTCATGACTTCACTGTATGATTGAAAAAGCACAACAGAGAGAACAAACTTCTCTGAGAGTAAGAGAATGAGAACAAGCCTCACAAATATAAAAATTAGAAAAATATTGAATGTATAAGAATGCATGAGCAGCTGCATGATGGTCTATCTATTCCAGTACCCTGTTGTCAGTAGTGGCTGAAGATGAGTGCCAGGGGAAGAGTATAGCAAATGGACAAACATACAGTCATACTTCTGTCTTTACAACCAACAACTTGCAGCTCAGGAACTTAGTGAGAGGAAGGAGTTCTTGAGCCAAAATTGTTTGATGTGCCGTTGTTTAGGAATATCAGGGGAAATCTTATCAAAGGTTTCTTATCCATAATAAAAAGAAGAATTAAGAATATAGAAGAAAGCTTCACGAATTTAAAAGCCAGTTTTCTTTGTCTTGTAGGTTGATTACAAGTCTGCTTCTGGATTGTGTCTCTGTTTCTGGTAGAGAGGCTGTGTATCCCCAGGTTTTTCTGTTAGAAGCCAATCTTTCTGTGAATGATCAGAAGCTGATTCAATCCCTATAAATGAATTCTGAGTGGAGGCCAGAGATGGTTGTGCAGCTGACTTATGCATGCACACAAACCATAAATATAACATTTTGTCATGATGCATTCGTATTTGTTGTTGGTTTTGTTCTTTGGTATCTCAGCCAGCGGGATGTATAACAGTGACACCTAGATAGCAAAGTGTGCATCCAAATTGCAGGATTAGGTCTTTGCACATCAGCGTTAGAAATACATTGCTGTTGGAATCAGTGCTCCTGGGTGCAAAGAAATGTGCAGCAAAACCAGATGGTTTTAGACTGATTGGGAGGAATCACTGGGACAAATGCCACTTCTGTGATTTTTGACCAGGGTTATATACAGACACAGAGCTTTAAAGCATAGATGGATAAATAGTTAAACCAGTGTTCTAGAGAAAATGAGAGTTTAAATTTACAATTCATGATATGTTACTATACAGAGGGTGAATTGTAGGCTTGCTAACAATCCCTTGGTTTGAAAGGGTGTGATAACGTTCCTTCATAAACCTCTTTTAGATATCCATATTTCTAAGGTCAAAAATTTTCCAAAATGTCTGTTTTATGTGCATTAATTTTAGTGTCATGGTTCCAATGCTACTTTTCAAATAAGTAGTACAACTGAAAAATTCTAATATGTGCAGAAGCATAAAAGCTTACAAAAAATCAGTATTGTGAGTGTAAATCGTATTTTTTGCCCACATAGTTAGAATTTCCATGAGTTGAGCACTCAAGAGTTGCCTATTCCACCAAGAGAATTCCTAGCTAAGAACAATCTGGTGGCCGGCTAAGAAAATGTAGTTGGAAAAATGTACGTGGATTCACATACCTTAGTTTCTTATTCCCTATCACTCATTAAAAAAAAAAAAAGATTTTAGAAGCATTTTTTATTATTTCTGGATACCGCCACCAACAGTGAAGTAAAAGAACAAGTAGCTTCTCCATTTGGGTCTGCAGATTGGTTGCTGTTTTAAAATAGGCAGCAGTAGTGGGTTACAGGGCAGCACACATTAGAGTCTGAAACTTCTGTGCGTTTGAGAAGATTTTCTCAGCAACGCAAAGCAAGAATGCAGTTACAATTCAATAAAATTGCAATACATTACCGATTTTGATTAAGATGGTGCTTATCTTTGGCCTGGACATACAGTTTCGTGGGTTCTTGGCTATCTGTAACCTCAGAGAAAAA